CCCCCTCCCTCAGGAATGCAGCCAGCTCCAGTTCCCTAAAGAGACAGGCTGAGGGTGTGCTCCCCTGTGTGCTGGGCCCATCCCAACTGAATGGTCACAGCACAGAGATTTAAATCACAGTGTCACAGGGCAGAGATTTTTGGGGAGAAACCAAGGTGGCTTTCTGCCACACATATCATATATTTTACTTTTTTAAAATTAAAATATAAACCCCTACCAAAACAGAAAAGTTTATGTGTAATTCTCCACCTGAGGAGAGCATGCAAAAGAGAATGGATGTCATGTGACAGACGTAAATCACATCATTTAATATACTCTGTAAAGCTCTCAGGTATTGTGAAACACTGAAGGTATGCCTGGTCTGCCCTATCTGGCAGATTTCATCATTTCAAAAATGATCAACACTGCTTCTGTGCCTCTGCAGCCTTTGAAAGCAGCATGGAGCCTTGTGCGTCCTGCCACTGCAAGCGCACAGCTTAGAGGGAAACTTCTCAATCAGTCTCCTGAGGTGGGGGTGTGGCAAAAAAATAGCCCAGTGCTGGAGACGGGGAGCCACCCTGGGACTGAGGCCAGTGGCTGGGTTTTCCCAGCCCTGGGGCTGCGCAGGGAAAGTGTACAGAAGTTCCATGCACTGGTTTGACCTAAACCAAATACATTTCATACTACATGGATCTGGGTTTATCTTAAACCGGGTTCTGCAATTTTTAGACCGATTTGTGTGCATGGAACTTATGTAAAGTTGCAGGTTTAGACTGACTGCCAGTCACTGAGACTAGGTCTGTAAGTGTAAAGTCAGCCTTCCCAAAGTTGAGGATTTCTGTTTTACTGAGGGATTTGCCCACCCTGTGTTGCACAGAGAAAGTAATCAGATCATGGTCACTGTCACCAAGCTTGCCCTCGCTCCTCTGATCATTCACCAGATCATCCCCTTTGGCCAGAACCAGATCCAGCAGTGCCTCTCCCCTAGTTGGCCCATAGACCTCTTGTGTTAGGTACAGGTCGTCAATGCAGGTGAGGAAGCTACGCAACCGGTCAGACCTGGCCGTGTGCTCATCCCACAAGATGTCAGGGAGGTTGAAGTCTCCCATGACAATAATAAACTGGGAATGTGCAGCCTTGGCCAGTTCCCTATTGAATTTGAGATCCAGTTTTTCTTCTTGGTTAGGAGGTCTGTGATAGACTCCTACCGGTTATCCCCTTCCCCAGGTTCCCCCTGTATTTTAACCCAGAGGATCAGTCTCAAGACACCCTCCATGGTTAATGAATTCTGTCTGAAGGGAAGTGTACTGCTCCTTGACACAGCAAGCTACACCCCCACCCCTCTTCCCAACACAGTCTGTCCCATAGAGGGTACAATCTGAACACAATCTGACCGGAGGGGTACACAACCACAACCTCCACTGACCGGCTCCTGTGAGGTCTAGCTGCGTGGGAGGGCGCCTGAGCGGGACAGCGGGGCAAGGCAGCCCAAATCCGAACCCAAATCCAAATCTGAATATGAACCCAAGTCCAAATCCAAACCAGAATCTGAACCTGAAATCAAATCTGAATCCAAACCCGAATCCACATTCAAACCTGAATCCAAATCCAAGTCTAAATTCAAATCTGAGTCCAAACCCCACTCCAAATCTGACCCTGAATCTGAAGTCAAATCCGCATATGAACCCAAGTCCGAATCCAAACCGGAATCTGAACCCCAATTCAAACCCCAATCCAGACCGAACTCACATTCAAACCAGAGCCCAAATCCGGATTCAAATCCGAACCCGAATCGGAATCCAAATCCGATCCTGAACCCGATCCGGAATCCGATCCCGGGTCAAATCTGAACCCGGGCCCGAATCCGCATCGGAACGCGAAGCAAGGCGAGCCCGAGGGAGCAGGGGGCGGGGCCCCGGGCCAGGCCTGGATGCGGATTGGCTGCGGGTGGCGGTGGGCGGGGCGGGGTCGGGCGGGAGCAGGAGCAGGCC